CCCCAAAACCCCAAAACCCCAAAACCCCATTTGGAAGCATTAAAAAGCAAATTACTCATTAAGTTTCAATAATAAATAGCATTTAAATAAATGAGATCAATCATCTAATTGCTTTGATCATCATAAATTAAATTAAAACTATTAATCATTATTCACTCACCTTTTGTTCTCTTACTTTAACCCATCTCTTTTTTCAAATTTTCATATTCAAGTTTTTACTTGAGAGGCACATCTAATTTTTGCTTGCCTGACGCCTTAGAGTAAATGTCTCTAATAGCCCATGCATATATCTCCCATTTTTCTTACCCCTAATTCTTGTGCTTTTAATACAGATAATCATTCGGAATGAAAATAGGACACTCTATGATTTCACAAGAAACATCAAAGAATTCCATTGATGACAAAAAGAGAAGCCATTTCTAATAAATTGAGTCCTTTGCGATGCTTATCTTGTTGCTCTTATAGTTGAGAATTATGGGTAAGATAGAAGTATTTGATAGGAATGCTCCTCTTTTTAGAGGAAGAATGAACTCTCCATTAGCTGTAGAACCCTCTGGATATATCGCTAATTTAGTATATTATCCTGTTTTCTCAATCAGCTTCATTCTGTTTACAATCTAATCAGCATTTTGCTATCATTCTTCCTCTGTTCCTCCTCTATTGACAAATATGCATCCAAAAGCCGTAAGTACTAGCCCTAATAATGGCCAGTGCTCGAGGCTTTGTTTAGCTGCAAAATTACACTCATACTTAGATATCATTGCAATAGTATCAGCAAAGCAAGTGTGACCTCCAGCTACTATAGCTGATGGTCCATGAGCAGGGATAATTTAGCTTTCTTTGTAATTCTATCCAAGGTATTCTGAGTAATCAAAATCAACTTTTCTGACTTTAACAGGTATTGTTAGTGCTGTTAGAGCCTAAATAGATAAAAGTTTATGTAAATATGAGACTGCTCTAGACCTCCAACCACTCAAAAGATTATCCTTTGAATCAAATTTATGCCCAAAACAAATGATACTAAAACAATATATAAATTCAAACTTACTTAACACAGCAGTATGAAATTACGACAACTGAAACCCCAAGTATAATTCTAAATAAAAAGAATGGAGCATAGAGATAGTAAGTCCATTTCACCCATCTGTCTCTCCTTCTAAAAGCAGGATATTTTTCCTCAAATTACTAATCTATATCTCTCAATGGTTAAGTCTTTTTCCAGGATTTTTCAAACAAATAAATTCCAAAAGCAGTCTAAAGTACAAAGATACTGATAAATAAAATGGTAAGCATTTTTATCAAGAAAATTATCTTATTTTTATATATTTATGACTACAGGCTATTGATTAGAATTTTTAAGTCTTTTTGTATTTCACTAAATTTGTTATCTTAAAAATTGTTAGCGAGATGGGGTTTTGGGGTTTTGGGGTTTTGGGG